CTTAACAGTTCTTGTTTTCTTTTTTTTTTAAGAATATCTTAGCATATATGGAAAGTTGGTTGCGCTCATCGAGCGGTAACATTCGTCTGATAACGCTGAATGCTGGTAACAGTGCGGTACCGGCGTACGTGCATCGCAGCAGCGGTGTAGTGGAGGAGACGGTCACATCACTTGCTATGGACTGGATGACTGGCAAGCTGTAAATTCTTTTTTTTTTTTTTGCTGTTTTTTCGTAGATAGTATAATATACATCATTACTAAACTAGATTAACAGTATATACACAAATTAGTAGCTTATATATGCTATTAATTGCCGCTGCGATCTTCTTACTGACGAGATCCTGTCACAGTGCTGAATCAAGACGTATATGACTTAATGGACCAAAACTTCTTATTTCATTCTTGCCTCTTTCCCTCTCTCTTTCCTGCTTTCTGTATCCGATACTCCTTCGAAACTTTGGCATCCATGGTTAACTGGATGCTACAATCGGCTTACCTAGTTTCATTAAGGAAAGCTGGTCCTCTTTTGCACGAGTTGATCCCGTTTCCGTGAATTGGTCCTATGTCGCCTGGCCGAATTTTTCTGCTTTCTTTTTCAAGAGTGATTGAGATACACTAATGGCTTTTCGCTGTTGCCGATTATTTTTTTCTTGGGTGAGCTGAATCCATACGGAAATACTTCCGGTGTAGTCCAAGGTTGCGGATGTCAAATCAGTATTTATTTTAATCCAATATGCCAAAGAATTATGATCTATGGTCCATTTCTTGTGCCCTTCAAAGAACCGCAAAATTTGGGTACTCAAATTGGAGGGAAGATAGGTAAAAAGCGGGGATGGAGAAAGTTTGAGGGTGTCACTTGTTAAAGGGTGGAAAATGGTTGATATTGTTTTTTGCGCAGTAGTTTCAGAAATTCGGAATTAACTTTTTTTTTTTTTTGCATGGCAAATCACGAAGCAAGCGTCTTCTGAATTCATAATAACTTAGTCTTCTCGTTTTTCCTTTTTTCTTTTTTTTTTTCCTTCATAGTAATGGTCATTGAAGGTATGTTGGTGTGGAGACGGTGAATATGCATAATGCTGGCCGAGTGGAGGTCTGTCCACTGGATGGTCAGTCCAGCTGTGCTGTTGTACTCCATTCCACCGCTGAAAATCAAAATTTCCCTATTGATGCGCTTCATTCATTGGTTCTCGACCCTGTTGACGGGTATTTTTCCAGTTTCTTCATACACTTCGCACCGCACTGCCATTTGTATGCTCATTTTATCACAATAATTCAGATGACTTTTAATTTTCTTAGCTACATGTACTGGTTAAATCGTGTGCACAAACGAATTGAACGGGCCTGGATGGATGGCCGACATCACGATCCACATTGTTTCAAAGATGACACCACCGATGTTATTGCAACCTCTGCGTTGACACTTGAGCAGGTGTGTTTGCATGACTTCTGATGTTCGCATCTGTCTTTCCTTTCAAATATCTTGCTACCTGACATTTTTACATGGTGGTTAGAGAGCCGTATTAATGATTCCCGCCTTATACTGTCTGTGTTTACAGCTAAGGGATGAAACATAAGCAGACCATTTTCTACATATTCCCCTTTACATGACCTTTCAACATGATACACACTAACAACCCTACTCTTTCCTATCATAACCTGTTAAACTATTCCCACTGTAGGTTAAAATTTATGGATCACGGCCATTCCATATTTTCGATGGCTTGGACTGCCCGCTTGTTTCAGAGACTACGGTCGGCCTACCAACAGCCGCAAATTATTTTGTCAACTTTATCCCACCCTTTGTCTTAACCTGCGCTGGCCGTTCCACATTTTTACTTTTTTGGACCGTCCACTTTTGAGCCTACGATTTGGCCTTCTAACGGCCGCAGTTTATCATATCTGAGAGTATCTTTTTTTTT